CAACTTCACCCAAAACTCGTTATTGAACTTTTAAAATGAAATTGTTCAGTCTCAACAAGCCTTATTTTTTGAAATTGCCATCTACTCATTCCCCGGGTTTAATGGAATTGGTACCGTGTTATATAATTCTTGGATATCATATTTTAGGCATAGGTGTTTATAGTTGTAACTAACTAGTATCAACCAACCCACTAATGCCTGATGTCAAGCAAGAAGATTATGTTTGCTATCTCTCTTAAGCCTTTTGCCTCCCAGTTTTAAGATATACGGGTAACATACTATGGGTGGCAACCCCTTGGTTTCTATTAATGACGTCTTATTTAAAAAAAAAAATGTTTCTACTTCCTAGGAAAAAAAACTCATACTATTTTATGGGTGTATAAACTGTTCATTGTTTCTTTTCTTGCATTCTTTGAAGTTCAGGTGATTCTGCATACATTTGTTTCGTATGTGCTCAAATAGAACCTTATGTCATATGGCCATTCATTGTTCTCTTCATGTATTTTCATGTTTGGTGTAAAATACACTTTTTCTGTCACCCTTTAACTGCCTGTTCTGGAATGTATATGGGATTTATTGTGTTCTAGAAAGCAATTGAGTTTGGGTGTGCCATTAAGTGGTTTTCATACTGTTTTAAAAAGCCCAAAAACTTTTACTTCTCAGAATGGTACAATTTAAGTTAAAATTTTCTTGTTAAATGCAGGACTGGAATTGGTGAAATAAGTGCTTGCGGTGGTGATGGTTTTGCTGGCGGAGGCGGTGGAAGAGTTTCAGTTGACATTTTTAGTAGACATGAGGATCCAAAAATCTATGCTTATGGTATTAACCAACATCATACTTTGCTTTCTCTGTGTTTATCTCTGTATATTTTCCTTGAGCAACAGTTCACATCATTAGAGTTGTGGCTATGAATTTCCTAGGCACTGCTCAATGGACATATAAGAATGTCAATGTAAGATTTAAGTTCATGTGAATATGATATGAAGGGGGGAGCAAGCATATGCAACAGGGTTCCTTGAACAATGGTTCAATTGTTCAAATCGTTAAAGGGGTTGTAGCTATGAATTTCCTAGGCATTGGACTGACCAAACAAGTCAAAATAAGGTTTACCTTTGTGTGAATGTGACATGATGGGATTGATGGGGGAGCATATGCCACAGGGTTGCTGCAGATCTTCTATATTACTTTTTTAGGCTTATAGCATTCTTTTAGATTCGGATTTTCTATGATGTAAAAGGGGTAAGTAATTAAGTGAGAGATGATTATTGATTTAGCTTCTAGAATGGGGTCTGGACGCCTAGTTTCTCGCCATCTTTGTGTGATCAAAGTTTTTAATTGAAGGTGTTGATTCAGAAATTACTTGTGTTGATGTACCTTCATTGTTAGGTTTATTGCGTAATAGACTATTATTTGGAGTTCTTTGTGGACATTTATACTAGTTTTTTCATACACAGTTATTTTTGAATCGCCAAATCAAACCAACGCATGCAAGCTTTTTTTCCATGATAACAGGAGGAAGTAGCCGTGGCTGCTCAGAAAATGCTGGTGGTGCAGGAACCTTTTATGATAATGTTCCACGCACCCTTACTGTTAACAACCTCAACAAATCAACGGATACTGACACACTTCTCATGGATTTTCCTCAGCCACTTTTGACTAATGTTTATATTAGTAACCATGCGAAGGTTACTCTTCCTTTGCTTTGGAGTCGTGTTCAGGTTGGTGCATTAGATCCCTATTTTTACCTACTCTACACTAGGTCAGAAAAAAATTTATGATTTGCTACACTAATCTAGTGATCTGGATGCTTTAGAGGCATAATAAGGTGACCATAGTTTGAACAAATATGCTATTTAACAAAATATTGGCATTTCTGTATTTCTCACTTCCCATTACTGAGACAAGATGGACTGCCTGTGTAATAATAACTTAAATATACGGACAGAAGTTTTACTAGAAATGCAAAAGTACTAGAATTTGAGAACAGCTGTTTATATTTTGATACTAACCCTCTGTAATTGCTGTCTACTTTTTATTGCCTCTTTGCTCTTTTAAACATCACTGAGTGTTGTCACATCCTAATCTCATTTGCAATACTCTACAATGCTTTTCATTTAGGTCCAGGGACAAATTAGCCTCTTGTATTATGCGTCATTGAGCTTTGGGCTGGCAAAATATTCAATGTCAGAATTTGAATTATTGGCAGAAGAGCTGTTAATGAGCGACTCTATTATTAAGGTAGCCCTGCATCGTTCTTTGATTTCTGTCATTCTGTGGAACTGTTCTCATGAAGTTACTCCTATCTTCATGCTCACCGCTTTCTGTAGTTATGTGTGTCTATCTTCCCATGTGTCATGTATGTGCCTGTATTTAAGATATTTTTTTGCATGTCTAAATTTGTGTTAGTGTTTTTCCCCTTTAACTCTTAAGATCTGTATACTGATAGTGGCCTTTGTGATAATGTTTTTTTCCCCTTCACTCTTAATTGAGAAAAACACAGTTGTGTACACATTGCACACCAAAAAAAAAAAAAAACACTCGGCTGAGTTGGCCAACTCAGGCGCCGGCTGACTTGGGCACCTAGGCTGCCTAGTCGGCCGACTCATGTCTGCCTAAGGGTAAAATCCCCCCGGCCTAGGGTCACCTAGGCCACAACAGTGCTCTTAAGATCTGTATCCTGATAGTGGCCTTTGTGAAGCACTTGTTCATGAAATGTTTATTTTACAACTTTGCCACAGAGAAGTGTTTAATGTGGACTGGCATCCCCATTGACCTTTAAGATTGGGAAATTGTTCCCCCTTTCCTCACATCCCTTACAAATTTCCCTGATTTTGGTTTTCTGAATCTGCATATTCTTAAGTGTTCTTTTGAGTGCTCTATGCTTATCTGACTCATTGGTTGTTTTCAGGTTTATGGAGCTCTGCGCATGTCTGTTAAAATGTTTCTGATGTGGAATTCAAAAATGCTTATTGATGGTGGTGGAGATGCCAATGTTGGAACATCAATGCTGGAGGCTAGTAACCTTATTGTTCTTAAGGTGCATTTCCACTGAATTTTGTTATGTCTTGCTTATTTTCTGTATTTTCTTTTCTTGGGCCTGCAAATAACTTTTTATACCCATTCTTGCACAGGAAACGTCGTTAATTCATTCTAATGCAAATCTGGGTGTTCATGGGCAAGGTTTACTGAATCTATCTGGACCAGGGGATTGCATTGAAGCTCAACGCCTGGTCTTATCCTTGTTTTATAGCATCCATGTAATGAATATTCCTCTACATAGTACTTATATCCCTTTGTAGTTCAAATGATTTGTCCCCTTCACTTTTTCTTTGATTTATATACTCTTAGTGCATTTTGTATCTATGCATACATGCTTACAAAGAGTGTCCGAGTGCAACTATCATTTTTCTTAGGTTTGAACCATCTTAATCTTGTGGAGTAACTCCTGAGATTCCCTAATCTTCAATGCTAAGGGGTATAATAGTCATGTGTATATGTACAGTAGTTAATTAATTGCTATATATTTATCACTATCTTTTGCCAATTGTTCATCTTTCTGTATGAAGGTTGGACCAAAATCAGTATTGAGGGGCCCCTTACGAAATGTCACAACTGATGCTTTGTGAGTTCTGATTTCTTCATCTGTTCAGTCACCAACCATTGATGGCACATATCCATTTCTTTGATTTTTCTTTACACTTGTTCTTAAAATTTCACAGGACACCAAAGTTGAACTGTGGTACCGATGATTGTCCTGTTGAATTGCTTCGTCCTCCTGAAGACTGCAATGTCAACTCTTCACTGTCTTTCACTTTGCAGGTTGCTATTTGCTGTTTGGTATCTTGTTCTGCTGCATTGTATGTTTGTATGCCTGACTTTGTTCTTCACTTGGGCTTACTTAGCTTTTGTCCTTTACATTGCAGGTCTGCCGGGTTGAGGATATCCTTGTTGAAGGATTGATAGAAGGATCTGTTGTTCATTTTCATAGAGCAAGGACCATTACAGTGAAGTCTTATGGAAATATTAGTACATCTGGAATGGGTCTGATTTTCATTTCCTTCAATTTAGAATTTGATTATCCTTTTCTTATTACATGGAAATAATGTAATTCCATATTTTCCTTAAGGTCATTGCTGTTACAAAATTGTTATTCACTGTAATAAGTTTGTATCTACAGGCTGTACTGGTGGGTTGGGACAGGGACAAATTCTAAGCAATGGTCTTTCTGGTGGTGGCGGTCATGGAGGTAGAGGTGGAGATAGATGTTTCAATGGCAGCTGTGCAGATGGGGGCATATCATATGGAACTACAGATTTGCCATGTGAACTTGGAAGTGGAAGTGGAAATGACAGCTTAGCTGGGTCAACTACTGGTGGTGGTATTTTGGGTACGCTTGAGTTTACTTAACCTGATGTCTTCAGTATCCCCTGATTTTTAATCTGTACCCATTTGGCCATTTTAGCATAATACACTTTTCTTGTTCAAAAGATTTGTTATCCACAAGAGGACTTATGGACAGAAGATTATGGTCAATGCTCAACGATTAATGTCAATTACAAAATGTACAGGCACTCATTCCCCTGCTTGGCCACATTTTGGTCTCTGTACTTTCTCTAAGAGACATTTTTTTTTACCTATAAGAGTTCAACACGTGAACCTTCAACCTTCCCAGCCACATTTTGGTCTCAGTACTTTCTCTTGGAGACCTTTTTTTTGTTTCCCCACAAAGAATTAAACCTTCAATTCTGAATCGAGCATAATAATATGCTTATTTTTGTTTAGCAGCACTAACTAAATCTTGCTTTGATATGCTGTTTGTATTGTCAATGGTCCATATGTCCTGAATTTCTAACTCCGAAGTGTCAGGTCTTACTTCTTAATCTCATATGCACCTTTCTGACTCTGGATTCGTTCTTAGTGAAGTTCTGGCAAGAGGAATTTATAGTTCCTACTTTTCAAATCTTTCTGACACTTCCTGCCTACTCTTTTCCCCTTTTCCGGTGTTGGCTAGGTGTCATTTATATATTTCAAATTTACACGTAGTTGTGCCATGATGTATATTATAAACTATTCTTTTGTTACCAGTTTGTATATGCTACTTCCGTCCCAAATAGCCTTATTTATTGTAGAACAGATTTTAAGGATAATGGGGAAGAGATCATTCTACTTTTGCCCATAAAAAGTAAACTTTTTAACATTTTGGCCTTTTGCTCTTCTCTTCTTAGAAGGGCAGTGTAGGAAAGTAGAATTATTTATGGGGTTTATTTTAAGAAAGTGGAGAGCATTTTCGGACATACAGAAAAAGGAAATATGGACAGGATTTAGGACGGAGGGAGTAATTTATAACTTTATAATTTTACCTTGAGATCATCTGCTTTACTTTGAGTCTTGATTATTTTCCTTGTATGATGGCTCCTTTTGTTTCTACTTCAGTCATGGGTTCATCTGAGCATCCGTTGTCAAGTTTATTTGTTGAAGGCTCAGTTAAATCTGATGGAGACAGTTTTGAAGGAAGTTTGAGTGGAGGTTTTATACATACAGAGGACCTGAATGTGGGACCAGGTGGTGGATCTGGTGGAACTATATTATTATTTTTGCATGCTCTTGATCTTGGTGACTCTGGCATCTTGTCAAGTGCTGGTGGTGATGGCAGTTCAGTGGGTGGGGGAGGTGGAGGTGGTGGAAGGATCCATTTCCATTGGTCAGATATTCCAACAGGAGATGTATACCAGCCCATTGCTAACGTGAAAGGGAACATTTATGCCAGGTTTGTGCATATTTAGGCCATATTTCAACAGATAGATTGTATGTATGTTAATAGAAAATTTTACAGTAATGATTTACAGTTTTGTTTGAAAATTTCTAACTATGTCATTAGAAATCTTCGGTAATCCTATTGACCTTAATCGATACTTGAAGGATAATATGATGCTGTACCATCCTCACAAAGTTTTAACCATCCAAAACATAACACCTCTATGCCACTTGGTTTTGACTGATTGTCAGGGTTTTTCCAAGCATCCAGGAAACTGAACTTGCAAAGTGATTATTTGCAACCAGAAAACTTAAATATATATCCTACTTTCTGGGATTAGATCCTTCATCCTGGTTTAATATTTTATTATCTAATGTTTGTGCATGTGTGTAACATTGACATTAATTGCACAGGAATACTTTGTAGCATTTGGTGGATGGAAGTTTACTTACATAACCTTGATCTTGAAACTCTAAATCCTTTTGTCTCACTACCACTATGTAGGTCTATGTGTTGAGGAATTTGCTATAATTTTCTAGATGCCGATGCATATCCCAAAAAATTAGGTTACTTATCTCTACATACACACACACACTCAAGATTAAATTACTTCATTCATATGTTAGTATATATCATGATTAAATTATTTAGTTGATTCCAAAATCACCTTCCTTTCTAGCCTCCAGTTAGTTGTAGGAGATATTCTCTTGTTATAAATTATCACCATTTTTTTTAGCCTTCCAGCCATTGTTTATGTCGGTTTTCTAGTAATTTTGGTTTGTTCTTTTTTCTTCCTCAGTGGTGGACTGGGTGGAAAGGAAGGAGGGAGTGGTGGAAATGGGACTGTATCTGGCAAAGCTTGTCCCAAAGGACTTTATGGGATATTCTGTGAAGTAAGTCCATAATTTCTTGTTTAACTTATGCTGCTTTTGTTATAAAGATGATGATGATGATGAAGAAGTTGATTAAAATATAGACTGGGATATGCAAATTGTACACATTAGATGTTTTTGCTAATCTCTAATAGGATCAATGTACTTGTTCATTTATGTTATGATGCATTGATGCAACAACATTTATGTTATGAGCTAGGTTCTACCAGTGGCAGAAAGTAAGCGGTAAGGTAGAGGTTACATAGAAATGTTGAAGATTAGGAATACAAGTGCCTTGGAATTTAGTAGTGCAAAGAGAAGAATAAGAGAGGAAGGAGCCAAACTTTGCTCATGGAATGGTCAAAGTGGGCAACACTTTTTATTCTGAAATCCATATTCATATAGCACTGATAAGAAAGCTATTACAACTGGTATCTACAGGAGAAAATGCAAGGGCTAAAATTAGCTCATGGCTTGGAGATTTCATAGCAAAGTAAACTTAGTGGCCAAGGACTTCCTCAAAAGCAAACATGATAGATGTTCCAACTTAAAGGAGGCGTATGGTTCCTATAACACAAAAGCATCATATCATAGAAAGAAAAGTTACTTCAACTGGAAAATTACTAAAATACCCAATAGCTGGCGTTTTGTCAAGATTATATCATTCCCAGGATTGTGAGATTCTTGGGAATAGTTTCCATGTTACTTTTTGTCTGGTTCCTAGAATTTCGTTGCCCTCAATTTAGGTAATGTGAGATTTTAGTGAATGTTAAATTTGGAAATGTGACAACCTGAGTCAAATGCTCCTTAGCATTGAATCACAGCATTTACCTGTAGGGAATTATCAATGTGGAAGTTATCATGTTTTTAAATTGTGAAGCAACGTCTTGTCTTGGTAATGGTTGTATAAAAGTGTTCTTTTGTGACATCTCATGCTTATGTAGGCATCATATCAAGCCTAATAAGAAATGAATTGTTAATTCTTCCACATATCGTAACTTAGTCTTTTGATAGCCTAAGAAGTGCAATATGTTTTTGAAAAATAATATACATTTAGAAAAGAACACCATGTTGATGCATGCACAGGTTTATAAAAGTAAACTTTGGATATGCAATTTGGTAATCCAAGGTTTATTTATTTTTCCCTCTTCCTGTAGTATATGGCCAAATAGGTCTCTTAAAAAATGCAATATTTTTCTATAGGGGTGTTGAAAGATTCATTTAACTGCATGTCATTTTTATTCTTTTTTCTTTCAATTTTGGGCTTCAAAAAATTGGCACTTTGAGTATAGTTTTTACATTTTTTTAAATAGCATGTGATGTATGAATTTCTTGGCCACTTTTCCTTGCTGAGTTGCTGATATACTTTTTAAATCATTGGCTTTATCTTCTGTATCTGCTCAGCCTTGTCCACTTGGAACTTTTAAGAATGCTACTGGATCTGATGAAGACCTTTGTATTTCATGCCCAGCAGATGATCTTCCAAATCGTGCCATTTATGTTTCTATCCGCGGTACATTAAACTTCACCTGTTCCTTTTAATTAATTGCAGTAACGACATTATTGCAACTCCTTTTGCAGACATGGAAACTGCATTCCTGTGGGTTTTTTTTTTTGGTTATTGATTCCTTCGTTTGTTTCTAGATCTCCACTATTTGAAATCCATATTTTGTGGATAATTTATTGCTAGTTTATGTATTTCCACTTCATGAACACCAAATCATGATTTAAAAAAATAACCTGTAAGCTAACATTAATATCCTAACAGGTGGTGTTACAGATCTACCTTGTCCTTACAAATGTGTTTCAGAGAGATATCACATGCCTCATTGTTATACAGCTCTTGAGGAGTTAGTTTACACATTTGGAGGGCCGTGGCTATTTGGTCTTCTTCTTTTGGGTGTCTTAATTCTGTTAGCCCTAGTGTTGAGTGTAGCTCGAATGAAGTTTGTAGGTGTTGACGAGCCACCAGGCCCTGCGCCCACACAACAGGGTTCTCAGATTGATCACTCATTTCCGTTTCTTGAGTCACTAAATGAGGTTTGCTCAGTAACCTTGTACACTAAAATGTTATATAGTATCTTGTCACCTTATGGAATGTAACTGTGGATTTAACATTTACTTTTGTTGGGTAGGCTGGGACTGAAAATTTGTAAATCTTACACACTTTCAGGTTTTGGAAACAAACCGTGTTGAGGAATCCCAGAGCCATGTCCATAGAATGTATTTTATTGGTTCGAATACATTCAGTGAACCTTGGCATTTACCTCATACACCTCCAGAACAAATAAAAGAGATTGTGTATGTGCTTTTTCTTTCTTATGTTCTATGTCAGTCTTTTCTGTTAAAGTTTATGCTAGTGTTATACAATATTCAATTGCAGCAAGGGAGGAACGAGAGGAAAGGGATGAAAGGCCCCTCTCCTCATTGGGGGTGATGGTGGATTTTTAAAATTTTTATTTTTATAACATTGGTAATTTTTACTGGCAGATATGAGGGCGCCTTCAATACTTTTGTGGATGAGATCAATGCTATAGCTTCATATCAGTGGTGGGAAGGTGCATTACATAGCATTCTCTGTGTTCTTGCGTATCCTCTAGCATGGTCATGGCAGCAATGGCGCCAGAGAATGAAGTTGCAACGTGTCCGTGAATTTGTTAGATCAGAATATGATCATGCTTGCTTACGTTCTTGTCGATCACGCGCATTGTATGAAGGTTTGAAGGTAATTTCTAACTGGATTATAGTGTGGTACCATTCCTATGTTGCTTTAGTGTAGTGACATTTTCATTTGTTCAAATGTTTTCCATGCAAATCTTTTTGACGTTGAAGTTTTATAATTTCTTGTGCCTTGTGAACTTTGATTAGTGCTTCGGATAGGGTCTATTTTTTATATGAAGTATTGGTCCATGTGTACTATTTCCTTTAATAACATGATGCAATGCAAGTGCTTTGTTTTTTAATGTTTTGTGATCAAGGCTGCTTATCCTAGGAGCATGTTTCAAGAATCTCATTTGAGTAACACTTATGATTGATAATTTGATATCACAATGTACCAGGAAACCTTTTAGAATAAGAATGCTGAAAGTGTTACAGCAAAAAGGAATTAAATGGTTCTTTTACTTTTTATTTATTTATTATTTTTTTTATAGGAAGGACATTAGTTGAACAACCCAGTTCAAAATAGCGGTTAAAAAAAAACACATTTGCTGCTGTATGCATTCATCCTTTAGTCAGAAGTTACCTCTTGATTTTGAAAAAAAAAACCGTTTCTCCAGCTCATTACAGTTTTATTCCATGCCATTAGAATAATAGTGTTGCTGAAATTGGTTCAAGAAGTATTTGTTTGTCTTTATTTTTTGGCCTATTTGATTGATATCACAAAACTAGTGCAGCAGTACCAAGTACATTGGGTTGTTCTTGATTTTATTTGCTTCACTACATCTTAGCATGTTCCTTTTGATTTTGTTGTAGTATTCTAGCATATCTTCTGATGAAGAAATTGATTAAGTCTCTTGTGGTCTTGAATAATTAGGTAAATGCAACTCCTGATCTAATGCTAGCATACATAGACTTTTTCCTTGGTGGGGATGAAAAGAGAAGTGATCTTCCCCCTCGTCTTCATCAAAGGTTTCCTATGTCTCTATTGTTCGGTGGTGATGGAAGTTATATGGCTCCATTCTCGCTTAACAATGACAATATTATCACCAGCCTCATGAGTCAGGTTTTCACCTCTATTGAAGCACTCTAATAAACTTTTTTTTTTTTTCCCATTCTTTAGGGAGGTTAGTGGTGTGGTGGTTTACTTTTATTTACTTTCATCATTATGCTTACCCTTTGTATGACTACTTCCAGTGTGTCCCACCAACCACATGGTACCGCTTTGTTGCTGGTTTGAATGCACAATTGCGTTTGGTACGTCAGGGTTGTCTCAGGAATACATTTCGCCCTGTTCTTAGATGGCTCGAGGGTTTTGCCAATCCAGCTTTAAGAGTGTATGGTGTACATGTTGAGCTTGTTTGGTCTCAAGCTACTACTGGCGGTTATATACAATATGGGCTTTTGGTACATTCCATTGGAGAAGTTGAGCAAACGCCTTGTGAAGATATTGAAGTACCTAGAAATGAACTATTATGGTATACTTGTTGATCTCATATATCCATGTGTACATATATCTATCAGAAAAATGAATTTGAAATCATTCTATTCTCAGTTCTTACAGTAAGCAGTGTTTCATACTACACTGTTTTATTTATTTTGTGGGTGGGAAAGGAATAGTGATTGTTTTGTTGTGGTCAGTGCCTTGTTCATCTGGTACATTGCAAGTTCTAGTACTATTCTTTTTGTAATCTTCATTGCCCCTCACTTTTTTGTTCGATTATTTCCTTAATGCAGTAGTAGCGGTGTATATGGTGAGAATCCATCAGACCATTTGAAGGAAGACAATCCCTCAAATCAAGGTGGTGTAGGCTCTTTAAAACGGAAAACTTATGGTGGTATTTTGGATATAAACAGCTTAAAGGTGCTCAAGGAGAAAAGAGATGTATTTTTTGTCCTCTCTTTTCTGATTCATAACACTAAGCCAGTTGGCCACCAGGTATTTCTCTTACACTTGTTTCTTCTGCATGCACTCATTCTTGCAGTCTGAAATAGTTTAAGGTTTCTATGCATTATTATTATTATTATTGCAGGATCTTGTTGGGCTGGTAATCTCAATGCTGTTACTTGGAGATTTTAGCTTAGTGCTGCTTACATTTCTCCAGCTGTATTCAGTATCTATGGCAAATGTCTTTCTGGTTTTGTTTGTTTTGCCACTGGCAATTTTACTTCCATTCCCTGCTGGAATAAATGCTTTATTTAGTCATGGACCGAGGCGTTCTGCTGGCCTTGCACGTATATATGCTTTATGGAACATCACTTCACTGATTAATGTTGTAAGTTGCCATGCATTCTCTATACATATTCCCATTTACTTTGATAGTGTCCCGTCATCCAAGTTCCGAACTGAACAAATTTGTGGCATAATTATTATTATTTTTCTTATATTATATTTCAAGCTCAAGTGGTTGTATCCTTGTATGTCATTTTGGTTCCTCCAGGTGGTTGCATTTATTTGTGGATACGTGCAGTACCGGACCCAGTCAAGCAAAAAATTTCCGTACTTTCAGCCATGGAATATGTAAGAATTGCGATTATATTTAGTGCTCATATTTCTTGGTTGCTTGGTCCAAATATATAACCAGCCATACGCTATTATGATGCAGGGGTGAAAGCGTATGGTGGATTTTTCCATTTGCGCTGGTTGTGTGCAAGTGTATCCAGTCACAACTCATAAACTGGCATGTTGCTAATTTAGAGATTCAGGACAGGTCATTGTATAGTAATGACTTCCAACTGTTTTGGCAATCGTGATATCATTGGCATTGGCATTGGCAGTCGGAAAGGTTTCTCTGATCTTCCACTAACACCCTCAGTTTTAACATGGGTATTTTCTTTTTTTAATTTTAAATTTTTTGTTAACCATGAAGAGAGTGCATGGGTGACACAGGAGTAGAAAGAAATTGAGTAGAAAAAAAAAGAGGAGAAAATATAGATAGGAAATGGAATAGCCAGAGGCGGGCATTCATCATGTGATCTTACTTTTGGTTGTGCAGCTATGGTGCTCACTGTGGTGTAAATATGAAATAGGATTATTTTATAATCTTGGGTCGTATTTTGGATTATTATGATGGGATTGTACTTAATTTTTATTATGGAGTACTTAATAATATTATTTATACATGCCTGTGCCCAATTTATTTGCCTTGAAATCGGATGATCTGTACTGGAAAAATATATGGTGTTCATTGGCATGCTTATTAAGCCTTGAGCACGACATGTTAATGTGAGAATTGTGTTTACGCAATTGGATTTATATATTATTCACAATTATTATTCATAAATATAATATTTTATATTTTTATTCTATCCATGTTATTAAGAATGACAATAGGTAGGCATTTGTATTATTCATAAATATAATACTTTTCTGTGTTTATATTTAAATCAAAATACATTGGGGGTGTTTGGTTAGTGGTTGCCAATTTTTGGCTGATTTGGCCATTTTTAGGTTAATGACTTTTTTCTTCAGCTTATTCATTCCAATAAGCTGATTTTTGAAAAGTTGGGAGAAGCAGCGTTTTTAGATGGCTGGTTAGAATTAATTTTTGAAAGACAAATTATCCGTCAAATTTTTTTCTCTCCCTTTTTCTCTCTATCTCATTGGCAGCCATGGACAACACTCAAGAATATACATTTAAACTCACAAATCAAAAGTAAATAACAAATGGAAAAAACTATCAACTTGAAAGTCTTCATCCTCAAAATTCATCACATAACAAATACACAAATTATATTTTTTTAATTCACAAATTAAAAGTAAGAAAAAAAAGAAAAAAAAAAAACAATGATAAAAACGAACCCAAATTGATCATCTTCATCCTTGCTGTCATTGATTTTCGTCCTTCTTCTTCATTGCTTCTTGCCTCTGATTCTCGTTCATTTTTTTCTCCACTGCTTCTCGCTATTTCTTCGTGTCTGATTTGGGGAAGAGGGTGGAGATTTGATTTGATTTGGACTGTGGGTACAAATCCAATAAATCTAAGTGTAGTGCTTGGTGTATTAATCTTTTTTGGAAAGGGAGTATGTGCGAGTTGTTTATTTCAAGAATAGGTTGGACCAACCAGCTGTATCCTTTAGTTTTCCTTAGAACTAGGAGAGAGGGGTGCATGATCTCGCGAATTACTTCTGAATCAATTAAGAAATTAGCATTTCGTGATTTATTGGTAAATCTACTTCGATTCTCTCTCAACCAATAATGCGGGACTATTAACATGGTTAAAGCAAATCGTTTGAAGTCAAGACACTGCATGGTACTCTTTCTATCACTATGTTAATTACATTTAAGTTGAGACTTGAGAATATGGCATCATAATAATAATAATAATAATAATAATAATAATAATAATAATAATAATAATAATAAGGGTTGTGGGTTTATTCATTTAATAATAATAAATTTTCAATAGTAATAATAAATAATAATAGTAATAAACTCATTTAATACTAAATAGTAATAATAATATACTTATACCCTTAAAGGTCATTTTACATGCAATCAGCTAATAGTAAACAACTAATTTACCAAACATTTTTTTTATAATCAGCTAATACAATCAACTGATCAAACCAGTTAATACAATCAGCTATCAAATACCAGCTAAATCAATCAACTATCGGCCATTTACCATACACCCCCATTTTAGAATTACTTGAATAGTTGAAGATGAATGAAATATTACTTGAACCCATTTCAAATCCATTTGTCACTACTCATATAGTACTTGAAATTATCTTAAAACTTATTTATTTCACATGTAGGCTCGTTTATAGACAAGAGTATTGAGGACGAGAATTTTGTTACTATCCAAAGTCATTTTAAACTCAATTATTAACCATCCAAATTTATCCTACTAAGGTTCAAGAGGTCAAGTAAGCAATACTCCGTATTATTTATTCATTATCATCCATGGATATTAATCTCATCATTCAATTTAAAAAAAAAAAATTATCATTCAAATTAAATCTCAAATAGTAACAATTAAAATTTTGAATATTTAAACCGATCTAGTCCAATGCGCATACATAATTGTACTACTCAATGTTATGAAAATAGATGTTGATAAATTCTAAACAGTTAGTTTCACCAATTGGATTGTTTTGTTTTGTTTTTTTTAGTTGAAATAGCAATCGTTATCATTCAAACGACTTCGTTTCATTTATAAAAAAAAAAAAAAAAAAAAAACAAAAAAACAAAATCCCTCGGATCGTCGTTAACGGCGTTAGGCGGTTTCCTTTCGTATTCAAACAATAGGATATATTCACAATTTCATAATTATATATCCACAATTTCATAACTATATATCCAGAATTACATAACTATATATTCATAATTTGACAACAGTACATTCAGAAATAATAACTACACATTCATAATTTCATATCCATATATTCATAATTTCACAACTAGACATTCATAATTACATAACTCCATATTCAGAATTATTAAAGTGCTTGTTCACGAGAACCATATCCATAATTGCATAACTACACATCCATAATTTCAAAACTATATATCCATAACTTCATAACTATATATCTATAACTTCATAACTACATATCCATTAAGAGTTAATTCCAGCAATGGTCCTCCGACTATAGTGATTTTCCAAAATTAGTCCCCAACTTTTAATTTGGACACTTTAGGTCCCTTGACTTTCAATTTCTTTCCAATTGAGGTCCTTTCGTTAGAATACGGTTCATTAGACTTTAAATGAAGGGGTAAACTCGTCCTTTCACCTGCCTATGTATTATTCTTCGTATTTCTCCCTTCGTATTTCACTGTTATACCTTGTAAACATCTCAATAATAGAGGAACGCACACACGAGTAGTCAACAAATGGGGAACGACGAGGAACATTTTAGGGTTTCGACTAAGATTATCTTCATATATATCGCGTATACAATGGAGAAATACTAAGAATAATATATAGGCATGTGAAATGATGAGTTTACCCCTTTATTTAAAATTCAATTAACCGTATTCTGACGAAAGGACCTCAATTGGAAAGAAATTGAAAGTCAAGGGACATAAAGTGTCCAAATTAAAAGTCAAGGACTAATTTTGAAAAATCAATATAGTCGGAGGACCATTGCTGGAATTAACTCTATCCATTAACTTCATAACTATATATTCAGACTTGCATAACTATATATTCATAATTATAAGGTCGACTGGAGTTTTTGTAAAAAAAAAAAAAAAAAAAAAAATTGATTGGTGGAATTAAACGGTAGCACTAATAGCACCGTTACTCCATCATAGTAAACAGTGTCGTTTAGCAACCGTGTGCACCATGCACAACATAATTTGCGTTGAAATAGAGCTCTCCTAAAATTAGGGTTATCCGTCTTAATAATAATGAAGAACTCAAGGCTAGAATGGAGTGACTGTTTTGACAAGAATGCTCCCAAATTAATCAAGTCTTTAACTTGTAGTTAGTAAAAAGACACAAAACGCAACACTAATTACAATTTAAGAAGAAGAAATGAACACAAATAATAAATGAAGAAAAAGTTAACAATTACTTTATAATTTAAAGACGAAAATTACAGTTTTCCTAAATCCCTAAATCTTTTTATACTATCAGGTACTGTCTAGATTGCTTCAAAACACAAGTAAATGTGGAAATACATGTATAACTAACTTCTACTCTAAGCTGATGGATATCATGAGGAGAGTGATAGATTCCAAGTCAAATCAACTACTTAAAAAGAATTCAAAACCCATATTTTGATTGTTTGATACTACTATGCTACAATATTCTTTTTCCCCATCCCATCCGTTACAAGCCCTATACACAACACAATTTTGGTATGAAGGCAAGAAAAAGACTTTTTTTTTTTTCCCCTAACAGAAGACTATAAGTACAACCAGGCTGAGAAGTGGGGAGAGGGTGCTCCTTAACTAGGCTGAGATGAGGCATAATATGCCAAATAGCCGCCCCACTGCTGCCTTTTGCATGAATGTAAGGATGTCTAACAGGATCTATGGGTTCTTATGAGTTGATGTTATATTTGGGTCTTTAGCACCTGCAGCTTCAGGCAAACATGAAGTCGACACATTGCGAGAACATGCAACATTAGATGTTGTCCCAGCTGGTTCAGGCTCCTCCCTGTTCTCGACCTCGGGTGAAGTCATGGATATTTTATGTGCAGAGTCGGGTTCAGTTGATGAAGCAGACACTATAGTAGATAGCGGAGAAGCCTCCCGCTCACCACAATCTTTTCCACCACCTACAATTCAATCTTGGCAATTAATAGACAGTAAAAGCTGGCAGTGTGTATTCCAAACAAATATCGGAAGTATGCAAATGACCTGAGTGAGAAGCAGGGGTCGGTGGTGTAGTTGAAGCCAAAGGACTTCCCGTTCCCTTTCTCATCCTCGACTGCAACGAGAACACCATCAATATTAGTATGTTCTCAAACTGTAGTTATGTAACTCTGTGTTTTGTGCTGCTTATCCCCTTATCTACTTACTCCAAAAGACTAAGCACTATGCCGAACATCAATTCTTGGGCCAATTATAGTGTGAACCATGGTTCACATTGTAGACATTATAGTCACTGATAAATGTTCATTTTTAATATACTAAAAGTTTGTCTTTTAATACATTGAATGTTCATTCCTCATAACCCCAACTAAACTTGCAACGTAGTCTTACATTTCCATAATCTCACATTACCTCTTGAGAAGTTCCATGAACTACATGCACCTAATGAGGCTTTTGGTTTAAGTACCTAAAAATGAGCATTCAATATACTAAAAATGAACATTCAAAAAATGAGCCTTCAATGTACTAAAAATGTACCTTATGTCAGGGGCCCAACCTGTACGGTGGACCATGGTCCATAGTATAATGATTGCAATTCTTGAGAGTTTTTAAGAAGATAAGAGAAAAACTGTCTTGTAACCCAAACTTAAATTTAGGCTTTTCAAATAAACTCTTTTAGTGTTTTATAAATTATAATACACTTTATAGGCATATTAATAACCCTTCCAAAATTTCAAATACCTCCCTCCATTTAAACAATTTTAAATTCTAACCTAATAAATGCATGTGCTTTATTATCATTTTGAAAGGTACATGTGTAAACATCTATATTCTAAAAAGGACTTTTAGTAAACATATTGAGAACTTTTTCGATAATTTTTTTTAAGTATCTCAAATCAGAATATATATTTTTGAAAATTTTTTAATTCGGCCATAGCACATACTTTAACTTCCTATCTTTATAAAATAACACACTTAAGCTTTTAACATCCCTTGATAAATCCATTCACAACACAATATATACAACCAGAAAGGTCAGGATACTTTGCCAACCAAAGGGGCCAAAAGAACAAAACTAAGCAAAAGAAAGGTGGATTTCAGCAAGATGGTACGTAAACAAGATATGGCATAAGAAAAAATGGGAAACATATTGATGAAATTTGCACCTCCTTTTTCTGCATGAATCAGTCACTCGAGCACAATACGAAAGCAGTTCAGTTGGCATAGGATTACATACCTTTGAAATTTCTTCACAGTACTTAATCACAGCGGAGATACTTGTGCAATGACCATGGAGAAGTGTGTAGGCCCACAAAAGAAGTTTCCGTGAAGTATTCATATCAAGTATATCAACCACATCTATGCCAGGTTGAATATATGTTTCTGCTGCCAACTGAAGTGGCACTGCATAAAGGGTTATACCAGATGGCAAAAATGCACATGAGGTGTCCTTGTAGAAATTGTAAGAAGACTTAAGTAACAAAGAAGCAGTCTCCAAATCTTCGTCTGCTGCTCTCTTGATTATTACATTCTTGATCTTAGACAATGAAGCATTCCATTTGTTTTCAAGATTCTTCATATGATCTGGGTTCTCAGAAGATGAACTCCATAGCTCATCTGATTGCAGATCAACACACACCATGTGCGAGATTTCCAATCCATTACCTGATTGATTGGCAGCTTGAATTTCACTTGGAAGTCTTGAATGTAGTGGTGTTATCAATGCCATGCTAATTACAAGAGATTGACACCAAGCAATAGAAATATACTTATAAACTTTTGCAAAGTTACTGTTGGACAACTTTGGATTCTTTAAACGCTTCCGTATCTTTTCATGCATTGCTTCAAGTGTCTCAACCTTGAGATTTTGCTCCAATAATTGGATATACTGATAAAGATATCTGCACCAAACAATTTAGATGCTATTATACATAAGAGAAACTTCTTTCACATGGCTTAAAAGTGAAAATTAGAAACAAAAAAGATGGATAGTAAAATGTTATAACCCGCATATAGCTAGTTATTATGAAGAAGAATTCACTAATGACTTGCCCGAATAAGTTGCTTTCTGACAATTCTGGGCTCTTAATTTCTGACAAGCTAGAAATATCTGACCATAAGCCAGTCTGTTCCAAGAACAGAGAGAACATTTTCTCCAGAAGATGTTCTACAAAATTGCCAGTAGTATCAGAGCCAGCAATAGTTTGGTGTAGAGATGAAATTATCGCCATTACATATCGCCCAAGAGCAACTGGGATGAGATCTTCAAGGCATAGAGAGAACTGAAAAACACAACACATCAGAATGTCAGATAAACCTCCTCTCAAGTGGAGAATGAAACATAGTGTTGGAAAACAACATGTCTCTTCTATAAAGAGTCCTGTCTTCTCAAATAGGTTCCTTAGATTGTGTGTGTGTGTATATATATATATATATATATATATATATATATATATATTCTTCTGTACAGTATTGATAATCAATCAAAAAATACAGTTCTCAAGTATATTTATTCACATAAAAAGCAAGTACAACTAAGTCATTTGAACTTTGAAGCATGTTTATAGTGTTGGGACAAGGAATTAGTGTTGCAGCATAAATTCCATTTTTGGATTATCCCATATCATCTAGAAAGTAACATTAAACCTAAGGATTTCCAAGGATCAATTTCCAGGCTCTGCACTGATCATCTACAGGAAAAAAGATATTAGACATATACAATAGAAGTACATTTTTCTCCTACTTTCCATGGGTTTGAAAGCTTCTTTTGGAAGCACTAGACATGGAATTCAAAAACAGATGCCCATGAATCACTAAGCTATTATCTCAGAAAAAAACTAGCAATGCCAGTGCCAGTAACAAATATGCAGTAAATTAACTTTAGATCTGACAAATGTATGAAGTAAGAACAACTATTTTCATTCTCTCCCTTTTAATTAGCAAGACAGTTATAACAAACATCAATGTTTTGAAAACCGATATGTGCAAAAGGGCTGATATTTAAGAGTCCTATTAAAAATCCATTATCTTTAAAGTTTTATCAGCAGGTTTGCTTTCTTCAAGAGCAGAAGCCACGTACTGCTAGAGAGAGATGGTATAAGTGATGAATTAAGTACATAGAGGTGCAGATTCACTAATCTGCTATTGTACATCTAAGATGACACTGCTTATTTCTGGATAAATGTTCTCTTTATTGAGGGCAAGCATAAACTTGCAGTGTTGGAAGGATGGGAAAAAGAACGTCAGAGTTTGAAATATCCTAAGAAATGGAAGAAAAAGGAAAAAAGTGACTGCAATAAATTAATTGAAGCAATAGTGTGGCTATTGAATGTCTAGAAAGTGCATTATGATTAAATCTCATAACTTGCTAAAAATCCTGTAATACTCTGTATGCGGTTTGCAGTAATATTAGTGTGCCTCTGTCTACTTCAATATGTGTTCATTATGACTTCCAATATTCTCTTCGCTCTGTTTAGATATGTTCCAGGGGGTATGGTTGTTGTATGTGTATACCTTGTGCATAGCTAAGGGGACAAGTATGTAATTTTTATTTAAAATTCATCTACCCCCAAAAGAAGAAGAGAAGATCACTGCTGGATGCCAATATTATGAATTTAGAAGCTAAATAATGAAAATTCAAGCATTCAGAAGTTTAGTACCCTTTTATCTGTCCGAATAGAAATATAAGCCCGATCAAAAGTGGAGACATCTCTTGTCTCCTCCAGCAACCTCAAATAGAACAAGATGTACTTCCGAATGCAAGTAATAAACTTCCTTGAACTTTCAGCAAGGTTAACTTCCAGGGCTCTCCTGTTCCCTGAAACACCTGAAGTTTTGCGCCTGGCATAAAATTTTAAGATAATGAGTGTCTTGGTAATTGGTATAGAGGAAGATATGTCATCAATATTTGAACTACATAGAAAATTAATACCTAGTGGAGACAAAGCCCTGACCTAATTATATCTCTCTACATGACTTCAAATCACATTAATTTGCAAAGAAAGTTAAAATTGTTATCTTTAGGAATGGTACATTTAAGGACAGCCCTTTCCTGTTACAGTAATTTCAGACTACTCTCCACATTAACTCTACTAAACACTTTTTTGCTTCAGTCTTGAAACACACTTGTAAGCCAATTAGTAATTCAGTAAACTATGGATCCTTGCTCACATAGCTATGCAAGCTTCAATGAACATTACTCAAATTCTGATGAACATTTACTTTGAAAGCAACAAGCATAATAATGATAAAAATTTAGATTAAAGGCAATGAACATTCAGCATGAAGCCCACCAGGACTCCTATAATTTGCCCTACTTGACCTTTGAGTTCTATAGTTTGAAAAGCTCATAAACATTGCAAAACCAAGTGTTGTGCAGATTTCCATATTCAACTCATGTTGAAAACTACTCCCTCTGTCTGTTAAATTGTCCTC